ACTAAAAGAAGGCCTAACATACAAATGGAACGACCTAAAGAGAAATGGAGAACCTGGAGAAACTGGTGTTAGTCAGTCTTAGAGTTCCTCTGAGATCTTGCAGGATTATTCTTATTATTTTTAATATTTGCAGAAATCAACCCAAATCAGACAATAAAGTCTTGCAGTGCATCAAAACATGATGATAACCAAGCCCTAGAACTCAAAAAAATCTGAGCTTAGGGCCATCACCATCTTCACAAGGAAGAAATCACATTTCCTGGTGACTTTCAGGAGACCTGGAGCAGTTTAAAGTTGTGTGAAGACCTCAGTGGAAATGTTTTAAGGTTTTTGCCTTGCCTTTCCTGAAGGAGGTCAAAACCCTTCAGGTCCACTCAAAAGGAGAAAAAAAATTCCAAAAGTTTACTTTAAAATGGAAACAAACGCCTCAATAACTTGTGAAAGCACTCCTTTGGTGGAGAAAAATCTGAGGAACCCTTAAAAGCCCTCATTTCCTTGCATAATGAATAGATAGTGAGGAACCACCACAAGGTTTCCCTCTGGAAAGAGAGAAGGAGTAGGCAAGCAAGCCTCCTCCTCCTCCAGCCATCACCAACAGAGCTTCAAAATGGAGACATCCATAATTTTATAAACACTTCTCATCTCAGCTTTGTCTCCTGGAAACCCGCTCTCCTCCATTTTCTGGTGGAGTTACAACATGACACGGCTTACCTGACTCAGTTCCCAGCTCTTAACCAAACTAGTCACTTCCTCCAAAAACCTGCAAGCAACCTCCAGAAACAAAACCAAAGCAAACCAAACAGCCAACACAGACACTCAGACACAGCCCCCGGGAGCCCTGGGAGAAAGCCCCAACTGGTTGGTCTTTCCCCATCCCAGACGCGTGCTTAAAAATGAAACTTTTTTTTTTTTCTTGGTTGGGGAGGAATATAAAAGGAACTCCAGGCAGCCTCCCTCCCTCCCTCTCTGTAGGTTAGAAGCTACAATGAAAAGAAAATGAGGGTTCCTTCAGGAATGGTGAACAGCCTGGAGAATGAACGTGAGAAGGAGCTTTGTGTTTTGGAGTCTGGACTGGAACCAAAGCAGACAGCTTGCAAATGGAGGACAGGGAGATAAAGAAAGGGAAAGAGGGGCTGCTCCAATGGGGGGCGGCTGCGGCTTCCCCTCGTGCCTGGAAGGAGGGCAGACCCCTGGGAACTGCACCAGGAGTGAGACGCCCCCCCCAGGCCCCTGCCTTCCTTTCTCCCTTCCTCAGGAGAGCCAAGCGTGTGTAATGGCTTCTCCTCTCCAGAAACCGTTGTCCTCCTCCACCAGACGCTTCTGAACCTCCAGCCTGGAGACAGCTCCTCAGCCGCTCCTGAACCTGAGCCCCCCCACCCGGCCGGTGCCCCCCGCTCCTCGCCTCTCTGTTCACCAGCAGCACCGGCACCAGCAGCTGCAGCAGCCACCCCCCGACACATCCCGACCCCGCATCCCAACTTCGGGGAGAGAGAGAGAGAGAGCAAGAGAGAGAGCGAGAGAGAGAGAGAGAGAGAGCCAAATACCTGAGGAAGAGGGGGGGTGCCAATCCGCACGGCTTTGCCATCGGGCGGGGGACAGGCAGACAGAGGGGGGAAAGGAAGGAGAGGGACAGAGAAAGAAAGAGGTCAACCCGCTCAGGTCGGGGCCGCTCGCTCGGAGCTCTCCCTCCTCTGACCCTCGCTTGCTCCCTCTGGCTCTCGGCTCAGGTCTCCGGCCTCCCGCCCTCCGCCCCCCTCTCTGTCCCTACTCCTGTCCCCACACTCGGAGCATCCGTCCTAAGCCTCCAGCTCTCTTCTCACTCATCTTTCATTTTCTCTTCTCTTCATAGAACTACACGAAATTAATTAAGCCACCGCGCTCACTCCCCCCAGCAGAAGGAGCAGCCAGCAGGAAAAGCACAGCCACCTCTACTGCCACCACTACCACCTTCTCCTCCTCTTCCTCCTCCTCTTCCTCCCTCGCTTCTCCTCCTCCTCTTCCTCCTCCCCCTCCTGCTCTCCCTCCTCCCCCTCCTCCTCTTCTCTCTCGCTTCTTCTCCTCTTCCAACAGCCAGTCCATGCAGGGTACTTCCTCTCCTCCCCGCTCCTCCAACCCTCCTTGGCCGAATGAATGAGCGCGTTTGTGCCTCCACCACCCCGCGCTCTCTTCCCCGGAGCACTCGGACCACCCCGAGGTGGTTGTTAATTGCAGTAACTTACAGAAGAAGCGTCCCGGCGCCGGGAGGTGCTTCGGGTTCTCCAGCCCCACCGCCTCCTTATCCTCTTTCTCTTTCTCCTCTTCCTGCTCGGGTTATTGTTGTGGAAGTTGTTTGGGAGTCTCATGTGCTTCTGCCGGGTCTCAGCAATGGAGGATCGCCATCTTCCCTGCCTTCCTCGGCTCCTCAGACTCGCTGCAGCTGCAGATGACCTGAGATATCCGTCTCTCTCCCTCTCCCTCTCTCTCCCTCCCTCCCTCTCCCTCTCACTCTCTCTCTCCCCTCTCTCCTCTTCTCTCTCCTCTCCTCCCTCTCCCTCGCGCGCTCTCTCTCTCTCCCTCCCTCTGTGTCTCTCTCTGAATAATGAGCAACCAGGGGGAGAGAGAAAGCAAGACAGAAAGAGAGAAGGAAGACAATCTTCTCCTGCCACACAAAACGCCGGAGCACCAGGGGGTGCGCGAAGCCTTTCTAATAACAACAACAACGTGCAGGAGAGAGGAAGAAAAAAAAGAAAGAAAGAAAGAAATGAGGAAAAAGGCTAGGGGAAAAAAGAGGAAGAATTATCCAAGAGCTCGAGAAGAGCAGAAGGAGAAGCTGGAGGAGATGCTGAGGCTGCTGCTGCTGTCCCCCATCCCCCCTGCTGAACCCCAGAAGGAGGCAAGGTGGTTGCAAAGTTAAGGCTGGGACATTGTCTTTGTCACTCAGAGCCAGGCCAGTGAGATGCAAGAGGAGGAGGTGGCGGCGGCAGAGGAGGAGGAGGTGGTGGTGGAGGAGGGGGAGGAAGAGGAGGAGAAGGAGGCAAAGGAGAAGGAGAAGGGGAAGAGGGAGATGAGATGAATAAAGACCTGCGGAGAAGGCGGTGCGAGGAGCGCGGCCGCCGGGCCGAGGCGTGCGCGCTCGCGTCCCGGTGGCGACCGGCAGCCCTGGCCCGCAGAGGAAGCCCCCGGTGAGGACCCTGCCCGGCAGCTCATAGCGCTCCCACCGTCAGCTCTGCCCGAGGCGCCGAGCCCGGGCCCCAGAGGGTCCCTTACTTGCATCCATCTAGAGGCCAACCTTTGCAAAGAACATACATGGGGAACTGGAGGTTGCAAGTCTAAACCCAGATCAACCACGTGGGGCTTTTTAATCCCTTTCCAGCTTGCGGTGTGAGTATTTCCAGTGAAAAGCTCAAATTGTCCATTACTGGCACGTATTTTGAAGTCTTCTCTCCTGAAATAAAGGCTCATTGTGCGTTTTATTTCTTTTCTGATATGGAAGGTGGGGGGTGGAGGAGAAAAGAGCCCATCATTCCTAGCTTCGGAACCACCACTTTCTTTTCCTAACTTGTGAAATGTTTTGACTGCGCACCAGAAGAAAAAAAGAAAGCCTGCTTAAATAACTTTACACCCTCCAGCCCCGCGTTGTTTGCACTTTCTGGCTGATCATCTAAAGGCTCGGAAAGTAACAATCAGCGCTCCTAATGATAAGGTGTCATGGTGTTGAAGACACGCGAGCCAAGATGAAGCTTTCACACCTTGAATTTTTATTTAGTGTAATTTCCTCCGTATCGTTCTGAACTATTTCTTTTGCAAAGGAGTGGTTCCCCCTCCACCACCAGGTCGAAAGTCTCCTAAGGCTTTAATTGGACTGGGAGCGGTGGGGGGTGGGGGTGGGGGTTCTACAGTATCAAAAAAAAAAAAAATCAATGCAGCAAGTCAGGAGCAATTGAAGTTCAAGGGCATGGGCTGATTGTACCATTTCTATTTCTCGGATCTTGGAGTTGGACATCAACAGCCTCAGGAGAGAGAAACGCGCAGCGCGCGGGGCAGAGACCTTAATTAAAGTTTCTTTTGTCCGCGTCTGAATTGGGGGATGTTGCTGGATTCCTTTGCATTGAGGAGCGCGCATCCGGTGAAGGCGCGGTGTTAAGGATCCTGGGCAAGACTGTCCTCTTTAAATACTCGCCCTTTCTCCTCCTTCCCCCCAAGCAACAGTCCGAGAAGATATACACCTATAAATCCATACAATAAAGGAGGAGGAGACGCGCGCGGAGTTGGTTCCCATCCGATAGCGGGGCTTCATAAACAGATCTAAATCCTCATTTTCCAGGATTTTCCCGACCCTATATTCCTGAGCAGAATCTCTCACCCCGAGGCACGATTTCACCCACTTCCAGTCAACACTTCCTGCCCTTTTCTCCTCCCACTCACATTGAAAAGCTCGGGATCCCTAAAAGGGTGTTGATGGCGGGGGTGATAAATAAATAAATAAATGACACTCTACGCGTGCGGTGGAGAAGAAAGGAGGGGGAGGGAGAGGAAAGGCGAGGAGAGGGAAGAGAAGTAAAGAGAGGAGAACAAGGCGCAGAAAGGACAGAGGCGAATGGGGAACGGGAGTCACCGAGAAGAGAAAGAAGAAAGGAGAGAGGAGGAGGACGCTGAAGCTGTTCCGGACTGAAATGATCCCGGCTTTGTGCCGCTTTCGGAGGACTCCCCCTTCCGAGTGCCCGGAGGGACCTAGGGAAGTCCTCCTGCCCCGAGCTCCTCCCCACCGAGACCCGGGGGGTGTCTGAGCACTGGCCGCCGCCACCCCATAAATTCCTCGTGGCAACCGGAGGAAGCGCGCCAGGTCTCCGCCGTCCCTCCACTGTCCCGGCTGATAATTTACCTCTTTGTCTTTAATAAAAAGCTGACTTTTTCTGTCAAGCTCTGCACCGGGAAAATAACAATCGTATTTCAGGTTGAAAGCTCCTATTACTGCTGGGTTTTGGAGGCTGCGATAAAATCTTCATCGACGTGAAGGTACCTTCTGGGTTGGCTTGGGTCGTAAGTCCTAAGATGGGGGCCGTCCTTCCCTGGGGGCAGGGACGTAGGGAACCAGGCGGGTGGGGAGGGAGGAAGGAGCGACGAGGTCAGAGGAAACCTTGGGTTTCCAAGGCTCCTGGGGCACCAAAGGGCTTCCCGCAGTCGGGGAATTGAGCCCTGGGGAGGAGCCTTTTGCGAGAACGTGAGCGCGCCCCAACACGCCTCAGACCTCGTAAACCCACTTGGCAAAGACCGGGGAAGCGGCTGGCGCACCGACTGCGGTGAACTCAAGAAATTAACCTGTGCTGCAATTAAACGGGCTGCCGCCCTTTCACACTCACCTCGAGCGACCGAGATAGAGAGAGCTCCCGAACCGGCCGCGGGGGGACCTGGCTCCACCCTCCCGTCCCAGGAGAAGAGGACAAAAAGGGGAGATGGACTTGGAGGTGGCCCCGCCCTTCACAACGCTCCAATCCTTGGAAACCAAACCTCCTCTCCAAGCCTCCACGTCTAGAAGGGACAAAGACAGCGAGGAGATCCAGAGACCAACGGGGGAGATGGTGGCTTTCAGGCTTCTGGTGTGGGTGCGTGGGGGAAAGGTACAATGGTTAAGTTTCCATCCCAAATACGGCACCACACGATGGTCTTTAGAAGACACACTCGGTCTTTGGTTTAGAAGCAAATTGACTTCCTGAAGCTGTGAAGCGAACTATCGCAAAACTCTCTTGCTTTTTGAATGTGGGGGCGATACGAATTCAATTAATGATGCCATACACATCATCTTTTCGACTTTTTAGAAGTCACAAACGCTTTAACTCCCCAGTGAAAATAATTGAAAGAGGTTAAACATAAAGGGAATGGGCTTTTCTTTTTTCTTGTTTTTATTTGGGGCAATTTTTCAAATGATTAAAAAAAAAACTGTATAAAAGCTGGGTCAGTCAAGGAAAGCGCTGTGGCCGAAGGTTTTCGTGAAAACCTTAGTAAACTTGGCATTTAAGTAACTGTAATTATGCTTTGCCATTAGCAGACCATTAAGATAAACAGGAGAAAGTTCACACCTCCTGCTATTTTGTTCCCTAAGAATATTCACAAAGATAATACCAGGCTAGTTGGTGGGTTATCTTCTCCATTAGGAGGGTTAATGTTTAAATTTGTTAATTAAAATACAAAAAATTTGGTTTCCTACACAGCCAACAATGTGAGGGAAGTCTCATGGGGACATCCTGACTCATTGAAATTTACCTTTTGTTACTTTATCCTGTGGCATTATCCCCTGGAGTCATATGGGGTTTCAAGACTATTAATGTTGCAGGGAATGTGAATATGTTAGAAGTCTGGACTTTCTTCTCCCTTATCATGGGTGACTGGCATACACACTCCTCATAAAGAGAAATTATGGCTCATCAAAAGAGTGACTTTATGAGCATTAATAGAATAATAAATCTTGCATTTTTAGTTCAAGAAACAGTGAAGTCTTATAATCAGAATGACCAATGCAAGTATGATCCATTCACTTGCCCAACTCTCAACAGGATACGGATAGTCTATAAATCATTTTAGTTTTTAAAACCTCAAAAAAGGAAGGCACCCAAATCTCTCAAAGGAAAGTGTTTATGGGGGGAAAGGGACTTCTAGCAAACCTGCAGGAAGAGATCTTGGAAAAACGAACAGTCGGTCCAGAAGCTGAATTAGATAGAATTTCCACCGAAGCAAGAATGGATAGATGTTCTAATGTCGTTGTTTCAATATTTATGTTCTATCATTTAAAAAGAGAAAAGTCTTCCTGCTTCCTGAAAGCTATAAAAAAAAGAAAAATCCAGTTGATAGCCCCATTTTCTAAATTCCAGCTGGAAAACTGTTCGAGTTGATGATTTTAGCAAAAGGAAGAGTAGGTGAATACAATGTGGCTTTTTAACCACATTTTACACATCTCTTAACTTGGTGGTATTTCCCTATGTAAAACTTCCTTTCTATGCAATGCAATGTAATCTTTTTACTAATTGAGTTTGTGATTTTTTAATGAGTTATCTATTTTGAGATCTTTACTCTTGTTGGAAATTACTCAATCTTCAAAAAATTTTTCTCAAAACTTCAGACTGGATAATTGTGGACGCTCCAAATATCAAAAAAGTGAAGTCACTAGCACACCTTCTTTCTAATCTCTTCCAGAAGAATCAATATATTGTCATAAACCCATATTTAAACATATATAACTAGGTAACCAGTGTCCATGCCTAGGGAAAAGTGACTAACAGAAGACAAAGGGGGATGATTCATGATTCTGAACAGCTCTCAAAGGAAGAGACATTGCAATAACTTATATTAAACTTACTCCATATGAATCTTTGTATATATGCCTTTGGATATCAAAGATATTTCAATAGTGATATTCTAAAATTCAAAAGAAAGTCTTTCTTCCATAGGTAGTAGTTAAATTTACAGTTCTATCAAACTAGTTATTGTAATATGTAATGTGTAATTTCATTCGATCATTGAGTGTTTAGCATCTGTATTATGCCATTCTCAGAACTGAGTACTAGGGATACAAAGATGAATAACTGAAATGAGTCAAATTTTTGATGCATGATCTACTTCATGAACCACTAGCTTCAATATCACATTACTTGGATATAAAACTTCAGATTTTTTACTCAAAAGCAATACCAGGATTTGGCCTATGATGAAACTGTAATTAATTTGAATATTTCTGTTCTCACAATGAAGTTATTAAGGAGTAATATTTTGTCAAAACTTTTGGAGTTCGTTGTAAAGCCAATGTGTTGGCTTAATTCACAATTTAACATGAAATTCTTCCTCAAAGAGATGTTTTATTTTATTTGATTTGATGGAGTCTCACTCTGTCGCCCAAGCTGGACTTCAGTGGTGCTATCTCAGCTCAATGTAACCTCCACCTCCCAGGTTAAAGGATTCTTCTGCCTCGGCCTCCCAAGTAGCTGGGACTACAGGCGTGCACCACCACACCCAGCTAATGTTTGTATTTTTAGTAGAGACGGGGTTTCGCTATGTTGGCCAAGCTAGTCCCAAACTCCCAACCTCAAGTGATCTGTCCACGTCAGCCTCCCAAAGTGCTAGGATTACAGGTGTGAGCCACCCGGCCTAGTCAACTTCTTAAAAAGGCAAAATAACAACCTTAGATCAACTAGGGTTAGATTAACCAAATTCTGAAGACAAGACTCAAGTGAAAGATTGCCCATTTGTTGAAGCATCGCTTCCAGCAGAAAGACTAGCATTTCCAGGTTCTTACTATTTGTTCTCTATCTGAAGCTTAGAGAAAGGAAGTGACTTATTCAGGAACACAGAGCTGGTAAGGAGCAGTCAGCCCTAGAATCAACACTTCAATGGTAGTTTCTCCAAAGTTATTGTTCTCATATCACATTCAAGATTTCTTCTTATTCTTTTCCTTTTTTGTGGGGGGGGGAGGGGATATATTTTCATGTAACTTGGTCCTGTTATTTAATTAATATACATTTTAAAATGTCAACTTAATTTTTTTAACTTCATCATAAGCAATATTCACAAATCACAGGTCTGATGGGCCATTTACACATTTTCAATGCATATCAAAATACATATACTATTATCAAAATTGAAAGAAAGATTTTTGCATTAAAAAATGTCTGATAGTATACTTGCTAAACGGTATGCTAATGGTAAGGAGTGAAAGAGATGGGGAGGAAAGTGTTACAATTTGTGTGTGTGTGTGTGTGTATCTGTGTACAAACATGAATCACTTTTGTAATTTAAACCATTTTTAAGAAAAAAATTATGTGGCATAGTAGTGGCTAGCATATCTCCAAATTAAGTCATCTCTTTGTATATTCTTACTAGGAAGTAAAAATTAGCACAAATCTTTTTTAGAGCAATTTAACAATATACGTTTAAAGTCTTAAAACGTTCACACTTTTGTGCCCTTAATTTCTATGCTTAGAATCTACCCTAAACAGAAATGAAAAAAATACATACATATAAAAGAAATGCTAAAGTAATCAAATATAAGTGATTAAGATAAGAGGAATAGTTAGGTAGATAATAATCTATTCCCATTATGACATATTAAGTAGCTTTATTGTTTGAGAATTTGTGCTTAAATAGAAAAATGGTCCAATATTAGGTAAAAGACCTGGATACAAAATTATGATCATGAATTACTTTTTTTCAAGTTGTATACCCCAAAAATCACCTTGAATGGAAATATACCAGCATGTCAACAGTAAATTCACTTCTCATTATAAAAAATTTAGAAAATTTAGAATGTATACATAAGCTATATAAGTTATATAGTTATATAATGATGCATATATATATATATATATAAGCTATGGAATCAGCTGCTTTGTTTGGACTGAATTATCAATTATCTTTTTAAGTATTTAAAAACATTTTAAAGTTAAGTATAGAACCTACTTTTTATATGTCTGGTAATTGTAAATATGTCTCCAGGAACATATTAATACTGCTAATGAAATAGTGGCACAGTAACCTTTTCACAGATATTTTTCCCTTCACAGATAATATAGGAAGAAAGTTTGAGTGGGCATTTAAATATATTTTATATAGAAAAGAAAATTTAGGACCAAAGAGATTGAATGATTTAACCTAAGGTCATCCAATGCCGATGGTATAAAGGCTAAAATCCAGGTCTCCTAATTCCTACTGTTACATTTTGAAATCTGTCATTCCACTACAGTTCAAAAATATTACCAAATATTAGCAAAAGAAAATTACTAATGGCCAATATGAAAAAAGTTCAATGTAGCATTTACATTGTATTAATTATTGTAAGTAATCTAGATTTAAAGTATATCAGAAAAGGTATATAGATTATATGCAAATATTATGCCATATTGTATAAGAGACTTGAGCATCCATAGGGGTCCTGGAACTGATATCCTTTGGATACCAAGGGATGACTATATACTGAATGTTTGTGAGTGTGTGTGTATTTCCCAGTTGTTAAGAGCGTATATAATTCCCAGTTGTTGAGAATATGAAAAAATAGACCCTATAATTCTCTATTGGTGAGAATGGAACTATGAAAAGTTTTATTCTTTACGGATATACTAAAAGTCTTTTATCCAGGAATTTAACTTTTGGAAATTGATTTAAAGAAATGTTCATGACTGTCATCAAAATTTTATGTATAAGGAGATTCACTGTAGCATCAATACCTAACAGCAAGTGATCAAAGGAATTATATTCATTTATGTGGTAGAAAGTTGTATAGCTATCAAATTCTGTAGGAAATGTCAAATGACACTGAAATATTTACATGATTTTTTGATAACCAAAAAAACAGATTTCAAAACAATGTACATAGTATTATCCCATATTTGTGTGTGTGTGTGGGGGGGTGTGTAGCTAGGCATTGAAAAATAATCAGACAAGTATAATCAAAATGTTAATAGTAGTTTTTTCCAGGTAATGTCATTTTTTTCTAGCAATGTAATTATGTATACATTATATATTTTTTTCACTCTGGCTTTTCAGATTTTTAAGCTTTTCTACAATGAATATATCACTTTTGCAATTAGGAAAAGTGTAGAGCTCGCAAATAAATTTTGCCAGCCCAAAATTTCTTCCATATCATAAGACTGGCCAAATCAAATGTTTTTCTAATTTATAATATTAATTCTGAGGTTTTTTAAATCATTATTTAAACACACACACACACCCCTTGAAATTCTTGGTGACATATCCATTTGATTTCCCAAACAGCCTTGACTCAGGGTTCAGGGCATCCAGTATGCAGTATGCTAGCACAAAGTTGACTTTGCATCTGCAAACTACCAGCCCGTGACTGATCCCTTGTAGATTTCATGTTTTTTGCCCTTTCACCATAACATGAAATCTACACATACCTGTCTTGTTCACTAGGGTGTGGTTTGACTTCTCAGCACATTACTAATAACAGTGTTTCACAAAAGTTACTCATTGGTTATGTTTTTCTAAGTATCTGGAAGGCAGAACAGGTTTATTTTTAGTATCTTTCTGATGTTTATTCTGAAAATTTGCTCATTCCAAACAATAGGTTTTATGTGAACATTTATTGACTTAATGTTTAGAACAAAGATGAAACCAAATCTAGCACTGAACACCTCCTCACTGGTTTCCACCTCCTGCTTTTGCTAGTGATGACCTTGGACAAGTGTCTTAATGACTGCATGCATCAGTTTCCACATCTGTAAAAGAGAAATAAATTAAATACTGATAGGATGCTATGAAGATTGAATAACATGTATATAAAGTATATGGGAGTCTGTATCTGTAAGCTGATATGCTCTAAATCCTTAAACCTTTACTGTGAGGTAGCATAGATGAAGCAAGAGCTCTAATTTTGGAATCAAGAGAGGTGTCTAGTCTAGAAAATCAAAACTATAATATGTGCCCATGATTGTAGAAAAACAAGCCATTACTATTTAAATAAATAAGGCAACAACAATAATTTAAAAATTTAAAAACCTAAACATAATGAATGGTATCTAAATTCTGCTATTGCTGTTGATTTGCTGCTTATTTATTCATTTTGTCTTTTGCAAGACCTAATCAACCAGTTATGGGAGAGTAGAGCAAAAGCTATTATTTTTAAGTGTAAGAAAAACCTAAAATCAAGGAAGCTTTGTTTGCTGATATCTCAAATACAAGAAACAGGTAAGTATGCTTAGAAAAATCAGTATTTTGTAGGAATTGTTATAATAAATATAAATAAACTACAGCAAATAGGAAACATTTTATTTCACTTCATTTTTTTCTGTTAATTGCACAGACCACCACTGTTCCTTGGTCTAGCTTCTAGTCAGCAGCATTCTGCTGGAGCACAATTGGAAAACCACTGATCTATTCCAGATGAGAAAATCGTCTCAAGGAAAAGTGATTTGCCCAGGGTTACATACCAAGTTATTGAAGAAACTAAGATCCAGACTTACTCAATCCCTCTTCATGGCTGTTTCCATTACATCCAATTTGCCTATCCTAGCAAAAGAGATTTCCTTGAGCTGGTATTGAATCAAAAGCTCAGTTATCTTCTTTCCTTCCTTTCTCACTCTTTCTTTAACTTTCTCCCTCTGTCCCTCTCTGGCTTTTTCCTCCCTCCATTCTTAACTTCCTTCCTAAGGTTTCTCAAAAGTGAAAACTTGTACTTTATGTGACCAATGATAATTAACTGCTTAGTCAATCAATAAATAATTTTTATGTTTTCTCTAAATTATTTTGATGACTTTCAGCTCATTTCATTTTCTTTTCTAACTTCAGAAGATTAGTGGAATAGCTAATTGTTTTCTCTGTATATCAATATCTTCTGTTCTTTGGGAGTATTTGGAGTTATCCTCTACCTTTTTTTTATTTTTCATTCTAAAAGGATTTTTATAGGCTTAGGATCAGGAAATAAAAAAGACAAAAGAAGCATATGATTTTTTCACCTGGAAAAATATAATTCTTTTATTTCTCATATAAATATAAATGGAAAATATAGCACTATTCTTCATTATCAGGGATCATATTAAATAAAAAGTGTTTCTTCTGGTTCTTTTGCATTTACTTTCTAACATGGAACACTCACAAAGGAATTATTTCTATTATTCAAAAAGAAGGACAGTTAATGTTTTCATTTGCCATATGATGGAACACAGAATTTGAAAATAGTTGGGACTTTCTGAATGTTATAGACAAGAGATTATAGGATCGTGTGGTAATCAAATTAACTTTGCACCTACTAGAATTGAATGGTGAAGCAACTGACATGGAGAAAGAACAGCAATAGTGATCTTTATTACAGTTTCCTTTGACTATAGCCTGTAGCTAGC